GAGCAGGGGGATGTGTGGAGGGGTCCTGCTCCTCTTCGGTGTCTCCTGGCTCTGTGAGGATAATGCTCCACTCTTTAACTGCCTGGTACTGAAAACAGGAAGCTCAAGAGTGAAGGTGCCCTCCTGCTAAATAAAAGCACACACAAACCCAGAGAAGGTGATTTTTGTTATCAATCCATTCCTGTTTCTTCCCTGCCCCCCATCACCTTGACCCTGAAGCAGTGGGTGCCATCAGCCTTTAATCCATGGCTGTGTAGGCACAGCCCAGCTGGTCACTGGTGGTATCCAGGGGCTCCAGACCCTGCTCTGCCCTGCGCAGAGATTTCAGGACCACCACAGTGGCTTTGACAGAGGACCCGAGTATTTCTGTGATTCTGTAACTAAAGTTTAAAAACAAAACCAAACCCAAAAGAGTAAGAAACTGGCGAAAAAGGAATCCATATTATTCTGCTTCCTCTTTGCTGAGGTGTGAGGCTGGAAGGGAAGGGCACGAGCAGCTGCTTGATGTGGCTGTGGAGGAGTGGGGAGGGAAACTTCTGCAGTCCTGACCTGAGGTCGGTCAGAAATCACCAGCTGGAGTGACATGAGTGTGAACCTGGTTGAAGTGACAGGCAGTTCAGCCCCTGGGACTCTATTTACATATGTTTAAAACAAACAAAAGAAAGCTGCCTTTGTTCCCCAGGAAAATCTATTTACTTGGCATTCAACTCGTGTGTAAGCTGGAACTTCTTTCACAGAAGTAGAAACAAAGCGACTGACATTTCTGCTTTGATGTGAGGCTGCAGCTAAGATTTGATTTTGAAATATGAGAGTAAACTGAAACTACCTCCAATTTAAAGGTGGATTTTTAATGACCTTAAAAGTTTTGAGAAGTTTTTTTCCCTTCCCTTAGGGACCAGAAAAAATTATAACAGTAATCTTACTCATAGCTGTAAGTCTACAGAGACAGTGGCTGTAGGTTAATGAAAAATTGACACTGCTACTTGCTGTGCTTCCAGCAGAATATTTTTTTCTTCAAACTGAAGTGAACTATTGCACTGTGTGAGCTGGTTATGAGTCTCACATATTAAACTGGATGCTGCTTTTGTGGAAACCACAGGAGCAAGTCACAAAACAGCATTTCTCTTTGGAACACATGCTGCAGTAATTACGGGTTCTTAAAATGGTTACCCTCCCTGGTCCTTCCAACAGAAATAAAGAATTAAAGAATAAAAGAATTAAAGAATTAAAGAATGAAGAATTAAAGGTTGCTGGGTTAATCTAAACTGGAGAGTGGCAGAGGAGCCATTCCCAATAATCTCCATCCCAATGCCTGATCTCCAGTGCTGTCAAGCAGCCCCATCACAGTCCAGCACAGAAACCCCAGAGCAGGAGCTGGGTGTTTTGTGTGCAGATGCTCCTGTTCTGCACACACGTGGGCACTGTTCCACCCTGCTCCTGTGGCACAGGGACTCCTTGGGGAACAAGTGCCCTCTCCAGGAGCCTCTCTGCAGATTTTTTGGGCACAGCCTGTTCCTGGGAATCAGAAATGGCACCAACTCGGCAGCTCAGGCTGACTTTGCTTCAGGCTCTGACAACTTCATGCCTGTTTGTTGTCCTTGGCATGGTGGTGCCATCTGGCCCAGCTTGGACAGGAGGGCTGTGATCCTGCACTGCTGGAAGCCCAGCTCCTGCTGAGGAGATCTTGGGCTGTGCTGGAATGGCAGCACTGGCAGCTGGGTGCCAGCCTGTGGCAGATGGAACACGCTTCAGTCACCCTCTGTGAGCTGTGCTGGAGATGGACACACAGAGGGGTTGGAATTGCCTGTGAGACAAAGGGAGGGAAGGCTTGAAGGTGGCTTCAGGTGTGATACAGGATCCCAAGGCAGGAATTAAAGAGTCACTGGATGTCTATAGCCCTCCCTGCTCCCCTTAAAGGATTTTAGATCCACACCAGTAAAAGTAGAAAGGGAATTCTGATACGTTCTTTGGTGTATATTTATTAATATTATTGTTGTTGTTCTTATTTTTATTTTCTTATTTTACTCAAAAGAGGGAGAGGGAAAGTTAAAAGAGAGTGCAGGAGAAAGGAAACTAAACCTGTAAACTAAAACCTGAAACTAAACATGTAAATTTAGAGAGTTTGTTTGTTTTCCTTCTAGGGAGTAAAAGTACAGAAGGGTTCTGGCACTCAGTCCACGTGTGCCCTCCTCTCCCTGAGTGCCCCACGAGCTTTACCCTGGTGGAGTTCCCTTCTGTAGGAGCACAGGGAGGGCAGTGCTCCCAGCAGGAATGGGAGCTGTGATCCTGGTTAGGATCCACTTCAACTGAGCAACAGGCACGTCCAGCTGCAATTCCCCTGGGCAAGTGCCCATCTGGGCATGCCAGAGATGCTGTGGGTGCCTCTCCCTCCTTGTCCCAGAACTCCAGTGCGAGGAACCAGAGAATTCACAGTCCCTGTTTGCTTACTCTCCACCCTGCTAAAACGCCTGTGGTTTGATTCTTTTCCTTTGTAATAAACTGTGCCCACCACAGCGTATATTCTTTTAAATAACATTTTAAAATATTTTCCGGTAAATTAAAGTGATGACATGTTTGTAGGGCTCATTGTTAATTTCATTTCCTTTGGCTCAGCCAGCCAGATAAAATGCAATGTTATTAATCTTTGTTTAAAAGAAGATCCTTTGCTGAACAGTAATAAATGATCTTGATAGATTTGTCAGGAAAATGAATGATAATCATTTGCAGATAGACACAAGCCTAGTATGGAAGATTAATAAGAAAATATGTATTGGCATCATTAATAACATCTGCTGCCAATGCATTTGGATATTGGTTCCAGCCTGAGAGCGATGTGTTCTTGTTAGGACACCACAACTCATCCCCTGCTGCCTGCACAGTGCTCCTGTTCAGCTGGAGTTTCATTTTTTTGATTGATTTGGGTTTTTGGGTTTTCTTCCCACTAATTGCATTGTTTTCCTAGAAAACACAAGCAAAGGTCAAGATGTTTTGAGACGACTTTGCTTTATTTCACTAAAACCTCTCAGACACCCCCTCCCCAATCATTCTTTTCTCCTTTGTTTCATTTCAGTGCTTCAAAGCAGAGTGGTGAAGTCAAAAAAGTTTACCAATGAAATGTGTTCCTCCTGGGGATGCACAGCTGGCTGCATCTGGCAGTGTGGGTGTCTCCACTCCTCAGGGCCAAGCTCGGAGATGCAGTCACAGCTCTCAAAGTGCATTATTTTGTTTAACCAACATCAACATCACTTCAAAGGAAAAGTTACCTTCAAGGACCTGTAGGATGAGATGGGGATAACTCATCACATAACCAAAGATCAAAAGTATTTTGTCATTAGAAAAAAAAAAGAGTGAAATTCAGTCCTACTCTGCAAAACTGAATGTTTCTTAGGGGAAAAGGCAATCTCAAATATTTTAAAAATTTCCCCAGTTTTTCTCATCCTGCTCAGTGTTGCTTTCCCATGCTTTAAAGGGGGATGTGTGGTCCAAAAAAGCCAATAAAGCCATCGAGCTGAGAGCTGCTGAGGGTCTCTGTGGCCCAGGGTGAGGAGGCGAGAGCCCTGGTATTTCTAAATGCATTAAAAATGTACCTATTATTATTATTATTAGACATTTGCCAGCTATTAATCACTGCTGGTAACTTGATTTTCTCTAAATGTTTTGAGGCACCTTCTGATCTGGGCACTGCCTGCTTGAAACTGAATATTGGAAAGGCAAGACCAGCTCTGTGTCAGGTGCCTCTTCCTGTGAGGATGCATGGGCAGTTCATGGTGCTGAGAGCTCCCTTGTTCAAAGGAAATCTACTTTTTCCTCTTAGAATGAGCAAATGCTTTTACTGACCTGCATGAGGCCAGCACAGACCCCATCCTGCTCCATCCAGACTGAGGATAAGCAGGGAAATCATGGCCCAGCTTTCCTGTGCCTGGTGCAAACAGAGCCTTGTTTCTTCCCTCCTTGCTGACTCACGACTCATTTTCTTCACCTTTATGGTGCTGTGCTTCTCTGTGTGCCCTCACTTCCCCACACAACCCATGGTGATTTGGACGTGCCCTTTGGATGCAGAGTCCCATCCCTGTGGGCATTTTCAGCCTTCTCCAGGCACAGGTGTTAACAGTGGGTGCTGCTGTCTCTTTACACGGTGGCACCAAGATGGGTCAGAAAAGCCCAAACTTGCTCAAGGAAGTGAGATGCTGATCCAGGCCCCAAGCAAGGATGTTTCTTTTCCCTGCCACAGCCAGGTCGCTGTGGTCTCAGGGAGCCCTTTTTGTGTCAGAGCAGGACAGATCACCACAATAACCACACTCAGGGCTGGCTTGGTTACCCAGGCACCTTTATTGCTGGAAATGCTGATAAGGGGCAGCATCAGCCCTGTGAACAAACAGGCTCAGGCTGGTGTCAGCCCAGCCCTCGTGCAGCAGAGGGGGCAGGATGGGGGGCTCAGAGAGAGCAAGAAGCCCCCTGTAGCCACTGCTGATGCCAAGGAGGGCTGGGGTGGGAGGGGTCACACACGGGTTGTGGGGAGGCTGTGGGAGCCAGGGCTGTCACTGCTGAGTTACTCCAGTTCCCCACGGATCCCATCTGAATTTTGGCCATATTAAAAAAAAAAACCACAGCTAGTGTTCCACACAGCACTGTAAACCAGAACTCCTTCCCCTAAGCACAGCAGTGCAAAGTCAGCCCTGAGAGAGACCCCAGCCATGCCACAGCTGGGCTTTCCAAAACCTTTGCTCTTTGCTGGGCTCAGCTCTGCACCCTAAAACTTGACCCCAAACCTCCTGACTTGCCCCACGTCCCCCACACATCCCCTGCACCCCAGATGTGAGCAGTGCTGAGTTTTGGTCACCCCTCACGGAGAAACTGAGCCCCACAGTCATTCCCAGCAAGCAGTGTCCCCAGGGAAGGGCAGTGTCTCAGGGACTGTCACCAGGAGCTCTGTCACCTGCTGCTCCCAGCTCAGACAGGAAGGTGAGAGCAACCAGAGCCATGTGATTGCAGATCCCAGCTCAGCCGAAATATGCCCAGAGGAAGACGTTGATGGTCATCAGGATGATGGCATTAGCATTGCACACATTCCTCCACAGGGGCTCTTCCTCGATGCTGGTGAGTCTCTGCTCCAGGGCAGCTCTCTCCTCCTGGGACACGGTGGGCGTGGGGCCGGTGGACAGACCACACAGCCACATACACACCATTTTCCAGCAGGGACGCTTGGCTGCTGCAAGAGAAGGACCAAAATAATGGCTGTTGGAAACTACTGGGACTCTTCCCTCCCTTCTCCCAATTATTTGGCCGTGCATTGGCCAGTCTGGAGTGGGGCTTGAGAGGCACCTTGCATGGGAGATATGATGGAAAGAAGGGGAAAAAAGGAAAAGGAAAAGGGAAAAGGAAAATTCTCCCTAGACCATGTACAGCACAGCCTGATTGCAGTCGGTTGATTGCACCATTCACTCATTAGTTAATTAACAAACCTCTTCCTCCTCCTGCTCAACCCAGATTCCATCTACTTTTAAAAATTCCTGACAGCATGATGGTCCATTTAGAGATATCCCAGCTTGTTTATTACACATGGCATGCCAGGTGAAGTGTGTGTTTTAATTGTCAGTCCTACGCTGTGTGTATTTAACTTGCTGTTCTTTCCAAATATAACCTTTTTTTTTTTTAAATACAGGATGTTATAAGGCCTTGAAAAAGGTGTTACCCAGAAAAAAACCCTCATTAAACTGTCAACTGCTGTGTTTCACATTTCCTTCCTCATCTCTGCTAATTACCAAAAAAACAAGATATTTGTTTATAAAAATCTGAGCTAGTGAACTAGGAATTGATAAGAAATAAGAAATAATGCTGAGTTACTGCATTCAACTTAAGCCCAAATTTACTCTATTGGGGAAGAAAAAAAATAAGGGATTTATTTAGATGTTCACTTCTGTTTAGCTTGGCTGTGATGGGTTCCAGTGTTCTTTGGACTGACCAGCAAATGAAAGGAGTGAAGGAATCTTGTGTGTGTCTTTATTCTGAGGTTCCTTTTCTGTAACCTTTGAAGGTTAAGCTGCATTTTTTAATAGATTTGCAGAATAAAGCTCTGTCTACTCTGAAAAGAACTTGCCTATGTAGCATCTCCTGCTACTGTTCTGTCTCCTGGTGATTCTTTCAGTTCACTTTGCTCTGCCTTCCTTCCTATTAAATACCTCTGGTAGGACACAGAGCTATTTAAGGTCTGAGTTTTAACCATGGCTTACACCCTAAGGGAAGATGAAAAGATCCTGTTGACATCATGGAAATGAGAAAATGAGGTCTCTGGGTTCATCCACAAAGTGCACATGTCTGCTTCCAGGGTCCCTTGGTCCCCTCAGACTGTGCTGCTGTTTTGGTGCTCTTTTTTCCAGGAATGGCAGCTTTTCAGAGCCATTCAGAGGGATGTGACATCAAGGTATGTTAGGAGGACCAAGAGCCACAACACTTTTTCATTTGTCACATCCTTAAAAGTGTAATGGAACAGTGAATGGACCAGGTGGCCCCTCATTTAGAGATTTGCATGGGATGCTGGCTGTGCACTGCCAGGCACATCAGTGTGTTTGTTCACACTCAGACCCTTACCTGCCTCCTCCTTAGTGCCTGAATCTGCAGTTTCCACCAGGTCCTTCTCTCTGTCTTCTGGGGTGGTCTCTGCTGCTTCACTGCTGCAGTTGTTCGGGTCTATGGCAGGTGCTCTTTTGTGCCTGGTCCACCATGTGAGGCCATCCAGCTGCAAAGTGGAACAGAGAGAAACTGGTCACTGTCTGTCTGTCCCAATGTGGCCACCCAGACATCTCCCTCCTTGGGGGGCACAGGTCCAAGGTGATGCTGAGCCCTGTTTGGGGTGATCTCCCACTCTCCCTCCCTTCCTTCTTGCACAGATGCCCACACCCTGGGTAAGAAGGTTGGCACCATCCAGCTAGAGTTGAAAAGCTGAGAAAAAATGTGAAATAATCTGGTTTCTCTCCTTCCATTTTTTTTTTTAATAACTTATTCCATCCCTGTCTCTGAGGAGTAAGCCTTTAGTAGACATTGGAGAAGCAGTGTCTTATTTGCAAGGCTCATGTGATTGATCCAAAATAATGATGGTCTGCATCCAGGATGGCAGCCCTCCAACAGGGAAGAGCAATAAAATCAAATAAATAAAAATAAATCAAAAAGTAAGCCAAGATAGCCTCTCTGGATGCAGTCAGTCACAGACAGCTGTTGTGCTCTCAGAAGATTTTTTTTAATTCCAGATTTCTCTGATGGGCCAATACAAGACATTGCCTGTCCCTGCAGAAAGCCATAAAGGACAATCAGTCTGCTTTACAAATGTCCAAGTTCTGAAACTTTTATCCTGGAACAAGCCTGAAAGTCTTCTCCCTGGAACACAGGGAGTGCACAGGAGACCTTAATCTTGCAAACCTCAGTGGCCCTTTGGCAGCTGTGGGTGGTCACACACCCCAGGGGCTCAGGGATTTGGGGTTAAGCCAGGCCTGCTGCTGCTGTGGCTCACCTTGGCATGGCCAGGATCTCGGTGGCCCTTCCTGACCCCTGCCCTGGCCAGGCCAGGCAGCAGGGACAGGCTCATCCATCCCTCCCAAACACAGCTGCCAGGTCCAGGGCTGCCCTCCCCTCCCAGCCACGCTGCCTGGCAGAGGGGCACAGGGGGACACTGCAAAGCTGCCCTGGTGACAACGGGGCAGCCAAAGCCACACACGTGCCCCAGGAGCAGCTGCCTCCCTGCTCTGCCCGTGTGGAAATGAACTCCCCCAATGGGTCACTTACAAAGTAACGTCAGTTTAATTTTTGAATTTTGCACACACAAATCCAGGCAGAAGCTTCCAGCTGACACAGAATGTTGCATAATTTCCAGAAGATTTATAGCTTTATTTAAATCATTTTCAACCAAGATGAGCATTGGGCAGGGCTAATCTTTCTTGTCATGAAGTGCTAAATTGCTTTGATTTGATGATCCTCATCTTTCTCAGGGATTCTTTTTTTTTTTTTAATCACTTAGGAAATGTCACTGGAACATAGTAAAGTTTCAGGGTACTAAAGGATTCCTAAAACTTTTTTCCTTTTCTCTCCTCATGTGTCACTGAACCACTGTCTCTGCACATTGCAGCAAAATCTTCAAGGGTTGGGGTGTACCTGGATTTTGGGCTCCACCAGAGAGAAGCAATTCCCAATGGAAAGCATCATAGACTCAGGGAACCTCATGGCACCATGCCACTGACCCTCCCAGGAGCTGGTGCCTCTTCCATGGCCAGTAAAGCAAGCCCCCACCCTAGAGAGCTCCTGGTGAAGCACCACTCCAGCTTTGAGCTCCGGTGGGTTTGGGCTGGCTGCATTCCTTGAGATCCCCCTTTCTCCTCCTTGCCACTGGTGTGGGGCAGAGCAGCAGCTCTGTGTGGCCATGGAAGCCTCCACAGTGCAGCTGTGCTTGCCTGGCACAGCCTCCCAAAGGGATGGGGAGGGGAGGCAGGTGATGGCAGTGTCCTAGGTGCCTGGAGAAAGCAGGAAAATAAACTAAGAACTGCCTACAGGGGAGCTGTGTCAGCTTTACCGACTGGGACCTTGGAAGTGCTGCCTGAGGTCACCATGCCCAAGGGCAGAGGAGCAGGAGGGAGCCTTGTGCTGTGTCCTGGGGTGCCCTGTGGCTCTGCTCCCATCTGCAGGCTCACCCCTGGCACTGGGGAGCCCTGTGTCCCCCCTTAGTTTGCTCCTGTCAGCACACACAGAGCCGAGCATGTCTGGCTCCCAGTGCCACCCAGTGATGCTGTGAGAGCTCCAGTGCAGCACTCAGAGCTCTCAGGGTGGGCTCAGGCCAGCCCAGGTGGGCTTGCTGCTCCTCCTAAGCTGTGCACCAAGAGGAGCCAGACCTCAAGACACAGGGAAAACATCCCAAGCCCAGAGTACACCGGGGGGAATTGCCAATCCATCAGCCTGTCTGGGTGAGCCCTGACCCCTGGGGAGCCGACCTGGTGCTGCAGCACTCACTGCTTTGTGGGCTGGTCCCCTCCCTTTTCTCCCTCACAGTCTCCTTGGGCAAGGGAGTTTGCAAGAACTCAGCAAAGTTTTTCTTTTGTTGTTTGTAAACTAGAATAAATCCTTCTGTTCCAAAATGCCATCTGGCACCTGACAGTTGTGTTTCAGCTTCACAGTCTCAAATTTAATTGTAAGCTCTTTTGCAGGGTTTTCAAGGACGGCGTGACACAATATGGACTACCTACAATGAAGACATATGAACTCTGGAGCATACCAAACAAATTCCTTGCATACTTGTTTTCCAGCACAGCATCAATCACCACAGGGATGGGAGAGTGTCCAAAACAGCAGGAGAAAATGCTACAGCTTGCAGTTCTCAGATTGTAATTCATTTAAAGCCAGGAACATTAGCTGTACCACTCTAACATCAGATACAAATCTCTTTTCTCCTTTTGCCCATTTACTATCTCAAAAGCATTGAGATTCAATATTTAAAGTTGTCCAGTGTAGATCCTCAGCTGGTGCAAAGCAACATAACTGTGCTCAACAGCTGTTGCTGGTCTTTGAAGGCAATGGAGCTGTGGTGATTTACATCTGCTGAGGTATGATCTATCACTGTATTTCCTCAGCTTTGTCTTTGCCGCCTTGTTTTTCTACTCTTTTTGCTTGACAAAACAAATGACACAATTCCTAGCTCTTGTACCATGTCTTTCATCATTCCATCCCCAAGCACTGCAGTTAAGGATGAGCAGAACCAGCCCCACACGAGTCTTAGGAGAAAAATACCAAGGCTCAGGAAGGGAATTGATTAACCAGGGAGCACCAGAGCTTCAGAGATCCTCATGCAGGACCCCCAGCACAGTGTCCCCCTCCCAGCCACTCTCACAGGGACACTCAGGCTCTTCACCACAGGTTTGCCCACTTGCATGCCAAGTAAATAATGGCCAAACACTAAAACTAGGAGCCAGTTTCTACCCAGACAGTCAGAGCCTGGCATATCCACCCTGATCTCCACCTGCCCTTCCTTCCTCAAACACTCGTGTCCCTGGGCCAGCCCAGCACAGACTCACTGGAGATGAGGGCACAAACCATGACAAACCATGTCACCAGAAGTGATGGTCCAAGCCCACGCCTCTGCTCACATCCAGGGCAAAGCCTGGGGTGAATCTGACACAGGAAAATGAAAAACTTTGGTCTCGGTGCTGCCCACTCAGAATCGTGACAGACTGGCAGAAACCCAGCAGAGTTGTCTCCTGCCTCAGTTAAACCCCACGCCTTCCCTTTGGCTGTTCTCTGAGGAACGTGGGCAGACTTATCCTGATGAAACTGGGGATCAATAGTAGAAACAGAATGGAACAAGACAAAAAGAAATGGGGACAGACTCTCCTATTCCCATCGAGCTATAGAAAGAGGGAATGAGCTACTGTTCAGTGGCATGAATTTCCTGGCAGTCCATCCCATTTTCCTTGTGGTGGGAAGACACTGAGGGACAGGGAGCACATGGGATGGTCATCACAAATATCAGATAATTGATCTGAGTCTCTGTGTCCAGCCTTTCACTGCCACAGGCGGTATCATTAATTCTCATTCATTTTCTACAACAGAATCTCTTACACAGAGGTCGGGCACTGAGCTCAGCACTATGTGGGGTCCATAGCATATTAAAAGGCTATCCTGAACATCCCTATTGAGAAAATTTCCCCCAAAAAGTCCAGTGATGTTAGTTCCTGGCCAGTGCTGCCCTTCTGCAAGCTCTCCTCCCTCCCTGGCTCTCCAGAGGTACCTGAGGCAGGGCAGCCACCACCTCTCATCCTTTGTTCCTTCACACAGTGCTTCAGACAAAATCCTGCCCTCCCTGACCATACCCCTGGCTCTTTGAAGAATGTGTCAAATAAGGTCACTTACATCCAGCACCTATAAACTCACTCATTTCAGTAGAAATATCACTGAAATCTCCCCTGGGGAATCTCTTAAGGTCATAACCTCTTTTCTCTGATTCTTTTATAGTGGGTTCCATGCTGAACTCCCCCTCTTGGAAGATGCTTTAAATGTTTTCATACCTCTGAGGTCAGACTAAAAAGCCTGGAGGTGCTGGGACCAGTTTCTCCATCTCCTGAACTGCTGGTTTGATGCTCACTGTTCACCAGTGCTGTGTTAATACATCTTATCTTCCTATTGCTGTGGGCAGGGAGCACTGCACATGTTTAGCTATCACAGGTCAGATGATGAGTGGGAACTCATTAAACCACAGTAATTAATTGCTGGCAACCATCTGGCCACCCCTGAGCAGTCATGAACAACGTAAGCAGCAGAACTAATGGTGCCTCCTTGCCAGTATTTCTCTCTCCCATGTGGATGCTCTGATAGCTAATAAAAGCTGAGAGTTTATCTCCAAGCAGACACAAAGACAGCCTCTCTCCCCCCTCCTCTCCCCTATCTGAGCACCTGCTTTCATGTAATCTTTAGGAGCGGGGTGCCTTTGACACCTATAATATTCTATCAACATTGATGGAGCTGGTTAATGCTTTACAAGTTATGAGGTAGCAACAGATTGATGTCATCATAGCATTTTCTCTCTCATGCAGCTAGACAGGAAAAAATAGGTCTTTTTAATCTATCCAGTAACCTTTGCTGAGAGGTAGGTGGCCGTTTTGTTATACTGGCAGCTGCTTTAAAACTTGGGACTGGGAAGAGTTGCTTTAAGGTTTTATAATATAAAGCCTCCCAACTCTGCACCATTTTAATGTGCTAAGTAAAAGAAAGTTGTGCTTCCCTCAAAGTTATTAAATTTAATTGAGATCACACTGGGACAAAATGTTATTTTCTTAAATGCCCATGTTGCAAAAGATATTAATCTTGTTTCCCTGCAAGATTGATGCTGGCTCTGCTGAAACAGGCTAGATGCTACAATTAGATATATTTAATTCCTCCTCAGCAGTGCTCTGTAATGTGATTTCATCTCCTTCCCCTTCTTCTTTTCTTTCTATTCCAGTTATGATGGGCTGTGGTGTCTGCCCAGCTCTGGGCACAGCATGGGAACTCACACTCAATTTGAAGCACTCAGTGCTCAGCAGCATTAACACTCTGTGACCTGGGGAATAGAGAGGGCTGAGGAGCAAGGGCTTCTTGGCAGCATATGCATTACACACCATTGCTTAGCCACTGCAGGAACAGGAAAGGGCAGATCCCAGGGATTTTTGGTATGGGAAAAGAGTGCCACTGCAAGTCACTTACCTTTTCTTCAGGGATGGATGGGGTGCAGAGGCTGATGATGACGATGACAATGGCAGTGAGGGCACACAGGATGAGGGCAAAGTAGAGGTAGTGCACGTCCTTCAGCACAGCTGGTCTCCTGTCCTCCTCCCCACAGGCTGGGGCACTGTAAGCAAACTCCAGGATCATCCGAGCCAGACCAACAGCAAGCCCAGCCATGAGGCCCCAGAAAGCCCCCTGGGAAAAGGCAAGCACAGAGAAAAGGTCACTGCAAATTACCTCTGGGTGTAGTTTTCCCTCTCCTCTCCCTCTTTCCCAAGACTTTTTATGCCTGATGGAAATCCACACTGAGGTGCATCAAAGGAGAAATTTTTCAGGTAAAAATCCTCATTTTCTCTCTCTGCCCTTGAACATGGAGCACATAGAGTACAAACAATGCAAGAATCTCCTCCTAACAACACTCCTCCAATGATACTTTGACACTAAATGGCAGAACAACTTCCCTTTCATGCTTTCAAATGGGACTGCTGAAAAGTACCACTTGCAGTGACTTCTTAGAAGCAAACCCACATCCCCTAGAGACTGGGCTAAGATCCACTAATGTGTGCCAGGAAAGGCTGTCTAATTGTCACACTTGAGCTGGACTGGCTCCGAATTCAGTGTCTCAAGGGCTAAGTACTGAGGGAAGAGATATTTATTTTATCAAATTAAGTACATGTATCAATTGGTTGTTGACACTTCACTTACAGGCTCATTAATCCTCTTCCAGAAGATTGCCAAGATGAAGAGGGCTGTGATTGGTGGGGATAGATAGCTGCCTATGGACTGAATGTAGTCAAAGAGCTTTCCACTGTTGGCTGACTGAACAATTGGGATCCAGAGAATGCTGATGACCACAAGGATGAGGATGAAGACTCTGAAAGAGAAGAATAAAATTGTATTAACTCTGTAGGCAGATTTGCAGCAAAACATGTTCCCAATTGCTCTTGGAATTTCCTAAGAAAAAATCCACACATCACCCTCAAGAACCTTTCCTTGTGTACACAGGAAAAGAGAAAATTGTTCTCCCAATGAGTCTGGTGTGTCCTAAAGTGTGACATGCTCTTCAATAACCTTGCTCTTGGATATGACAGAAAGAAGGAGCTGGTAGCTTGTGGAAGCAATCTTTCTGCCACCTTTCTAAGCAGGTAATGTGCTCAGTCTCTCACCTTTGCCAAATTCCAACTCGTTTGCTACTTATTAAAATTGTGTTTGGGGTCTCAGGTGAATATTGTAACCTTCCTCTGCCTTTGCACTGTGTGCCACAGAGGTTTGTCCACACTGCTGAATTGTCCCCTCCCTACTCTGCCATGGTGAATTGTGAGTTTGCCTGCAGCCTTCAGCCACACCTCAGAAAGGTTTAGAACTTAATGCTCATGACTGGAGAGCAAAACCTTCACAGTGAATGCAGCCTAAATTCCCCTGAATGAAGGAGAACTTTATATGCCCCTGATATAACACAGCACCAAAGCACTACAACTTATCACAGAGACACAGAGCTGGGAGGCTCAGCTCTGCAACTTTCCCTAAAAAAAAATAAAAAAGAAAAAGAAGTAATTGCAACATATCACTCCTGTCTGATGCAAAAATAACATTTTTATAGACCTCTGGTGACAATTACTCAAGAGCAATTTTGGCTTTTCTAAAAGTTACATTTAAAGCAGTATTTGTAATAAGTTCTGAGAGAAGTGAGACAATTATCTGCTTAGCTCAGTGGAACACTCAGAGTTTCTCCTTGACCAGGCCTATCCAGGATGAAGCTGGAAAACACAATGCTCTTTCCCAAGCTGTGGTCCTGCTCTATACTGAAGGCACCAGATTTTTCTCAGTGAGTCCAGCCTGGGGGATGTAAAAAAGCTGCACTCAGAACATATGAAGAGAGGAACGAGACATAAATAAATGCAAGGACCTGCCCACAATCATCAGCTCCTGCTCGGAGGCTTTCCTGCGCAGCCGCTGCCAGATGTCCACAACGAACAGGGTGCTGCTGCTGTTGAAAACGGAGGTGAGGGAGCTCATCAGGGCTGCCATCATCACTGCAATCATCAAACCCCGCAGCCCTGCAGGAGCCAAACACAGAAGGGGAGTCAGGACTGAGCCCTGGGGCTCTGAGCACTGCTTTTCCATCCTGCTGTCTGCTGTCTGCAGTAAGATTTCTGCATCCTTAGGATGGGTAAGGGCAGCCTGATGCCCCCCAGGCAGAGCCTGGCTCAAGCCCAGCTCCACAAGGCTCACCATCAGGCATGAGTTCAATCACCAGTTTGGGGTAGGCAATGTTGGAACAGCCCACAGCAGCTCCACAGATCCTTTTGCACATTTCTGGGTCCACGCAGCCCACTTCATCTGTGGAGCACAGGGAAACGACAAGGAGTCAGTGCAAACCCCACTGAGCCATAGGTTGTTTAGCTCAAGGGAACAAATCCTGATGTCTTGTGCTGTTCCATATAAATTCAGAGGTGGAATACAGCTACAATGAGTGGAGCTAGAAAATGCTTTATATCATATAATAGAGGTGAAACTTTGAGATGATATTTTGAAATTCTGTTCAGGGTACAGCTAAAACTCTCCAGGGTGTTGCATAACTGTAATCCTTGATGATTTGTCACTTGTGGGAACTGGACTGTTTCCATGAATCTGTCAGCTGGGTTCCCAGGGATGCTGGAGGCTCACTTGTCCTATTTAGGCAACCTGGGAAACAGGCTCTTTCCTCTGGGAGTGGTTCTTCTAACCAAGGTATTCTTCCTGGAAAGGGGAAGGCTCTGGAGAAACCAGCAATGAGAGCTCCTTGGGATTTAAGGGAGGCTTGTTTAGCCTAATCCACCAGGACCTAAATGAATCTGCGTGATAGGTTCCTAAAACTCTCCAAAATACCTAATGGATGTAATCCATAGGATCTGAAAGACAACCTCAGTGTTCCATGAATTTAATTTCATTGACTCCCTCCAGACAGACAGATGAATGCAATGTCCACAGCAATGAGATATATGCCCCAATGGCAAAGTGTGTCCCTTATGGCTATTCCTGGTGATTTCTGCCACTTGGGAGAACTGGAGGTGGAGGGAGGGCTTGGGAACACCACGGTGCAACAGGAATCTCTATGAACATGCCTGCAGGACAGCAGTTTCTAAGATGTAAAAGTGCTGGCAGACCTGTGTGGGATTAGTGGTCACAGCAGGTATGGAGCCCCATGTCAAGGAGGATGGGAAGGCTTACCTGGGTAAAGAGCTCTGCTGATCATTCCTGGCATGACAATGAAAAACACAGGCAACGTTTTCAGATGTCCTGCCAGCACTGAGCCACCTTTGGCATGGGAAAGGTTCTTGGCAGAGAGAGACCTCTGGACCATCACCTGCAACCAGGGCAGAAAGGGAGCAGAGAATGAAACAGAAGCACAGCAGGGAGAGCAGGATCCATTCCCTCTGTCTCTCCTTCTCAGGGATGACTTCCATCCTGCAGGATCCCAGGGTGTTTTGCATGCCAAGGACAGCTTTCCCACCTTGCTGACTGCAGCCTGCTGCCACCGCTCAGAGCTCAGTCCACAGGCTACAGGAGAGGGCAGCGTGGAAATTTCCTTTACAGGAATAATTTCACCCTTGACTGAAATGAAGCCACCTTCAGGGCTGGAGACAGCAGCTGTATTGCAGCAAGAGACACTGAAGAGACAATGAAGCAGACTGTGGGTGTTTTGGAAAAAGCTCAGTGGTGGGGTTTCATAATTGTCCCATCTGAAAGTACAGAAGCACCATGTCTCGAGAAACACACGCAGCTTTCCTTGTTTGTAGCTTGAAAAGGAATAAGGGACATGAGACATCTGGAAATATGAATGGAGGAATATTTTCTGGAGGTCTACTCAAGGTCACAGCACAGCCAGCTCCAGATTCACGTTTTTATATCCTTGTCATGCTAACTGCATGAAGACTCCCAGTACTCGCCAGCCCACAGTGGGATAAAGACAGATGAAAACAACCTGTTCTCACTGCACTAAGAAGTGCATAAAATTAGCAGCTTGCTGAGAAGGTGGAAGGAGTGAGACATTCTGGTCTAGACCACTAAAAAAAGTAGCAACTCCTGCACACAGAGGCACAGTGTTTTTTCAGCTCACATATCCACAGACTGAGGAGTGGACTGAAAATAACACTTGTGGTGGTTTGTCTGCTGAGGGAAAGATTTTATTTACCTGGTCAGTGCACCAGCACCAAAGAGCCACCACAGTGAGACCAAATACAAGGCCAGGCCAGGGAAGGTCTCCTGTGATGGGATCCCTGAACAAATGGAAGGCATCTTCACGTGGGAGGTGACAGGTTGTGTTTGGGACTGTGATCTTTGGTATTGCTGTTCTGTATTTCTCCTGAAGTCCTTCATACCAGCCAACTTTTTCAAATCCTGTAAAGAAAATGCCAGTGATTTAAGGGCTGTTGCAATATGCAAAGTTATTATTTTATCTGAGTATCGTGATTACTTTTATCTTCCAATTATCTCCTTTACTTTTCATTCTACCCTTGCTTTTTGCAGTCAAAGTTTCTATGGAAGTCAGCTGGATTTTGCCTAGAGTCCTTGTCGTTTAAACAATACATTCTGGAAGAGAATCAATGTAGGAAAATCTCCATAGTCCTAATCCCTGCAATGTCATCAGCATCTAGTTTTCACTTATACACCCTCCAAGAGCTAGAGCACGAAAAAATAACATGAAAAAAGGTTTAGATATTTCTGTTTGCCAAGAAGGCTTAAAACAAAGACTGATGATGATCATTTCCTTGTTGCTCTTTATTTTTTATAACGCTCAGTTATACCCACATGAATCCACAGTAACTCCAAAAGTCAGCAGTGGAACTCAGCAGGATAACTCTGGATTGACATGGGCATAATGAGAGCTGAATTTGGCTCTGAGAATGGGATGTTCCAAAGCTCTTTGGCAACTACAGTGAGGTGACATTATCCAGAGCCTCACCTCCATACAGTTAGTACAAAGGATGAAGAAAGTATGATGGCTTGGAGAATGAGACTTGTGCTGGCACCACTTCTGTGAGTGGTTGAAACTCGTTTCTGCACCACACATGAAAGGGTGAGGCACCCTGCTAAGGTCTAGTGGCCTTGGGACCACTAAACTGCTGTGTGGTGCCACTGCAGGTTCCCCTTACCTATGAACATGAGGACAAAAGCTCCCAGCACCATGATCACGGTCTGTATCAGGTCTGTGTAAATCACAGCAGTCAAACCCCCTGCCAGGAAAACCAGAGACAGCAGTCAGTGTGTCACTGTGCACAGGGAAACAGGTACCTCAACTGGAAAAAAAAGCTTTCTTTAGCCCCAGCCCTGTGATTTCAGGACAGACCCACTGGGAGAAGCTGGCTCTGAGCTGTTCCATTGGAGCCCACAGCTGTCACAAGCCCTCCCATGAGGAACAGCGTGGAAGGTTTTCTGTGTTCATGAGACAACTTGGAGGCAGCTCAGCATCTTAACAGCTAAAGCTGCTAATTTTGCAGAAAGGGAACAAAATAGCAAATATGGGCAGTGGTACCTTCCTGCACAGAGGGAGCCAAGAGCCTTGTGCAGTGTTAGAAAATCTTCTAAAAACAGTGATGCTCCCACCATACCACTTTCTCTTGGGATAAGAGGGAAGAGTGGAAGAGTCAAAGCTCTCCAACAGCTGTGAGTGACAAGGCAGGTACTACCAGCAACTGGGGCAATCTCTCCCTCAGACCAAGACCTGAATACTCTTTCCCCTCTTAGGAAATGGGAAAGTTATACCCTAGGCTCCAGTTTAAAATTTGTCCTTTAAAACCAGCTAATTACCAACTATGGTGTAGACAGCAGTCACTGCTAGCAAGACCGCAGTGGACAAGTAGAGGTTCCAGCCCAAAGAGGTTTGAATGAACAATGCTCCAGCAAAAATGTCTGTCTGGAATAAAAAAAACAAGGACAGTCTGGCATTAGTAGTGCTTCGTGCAAGTGAAATCTAATAAAGCAGCCGGCAGCCCTCTGCAGCTGAAAGCACTGACAGGGGAGGACACCACGAAGGTGAACTAGAAGGGGAGGAGAAGAGCAGTCGGGACTCTTGGCTCTGAACCTTGTTTTGCTGTAAGGAAAAACTTTCCTCCAGGTCAGAGCTTTCAGGATCTGGGAGAGCAGGAGGGTGAAAACGAGGGTGCTATGCCAAGGGACTAAAGAGTCATCAAAATAAAGAATCATCTTGAGTCATTGAATCCCGGCTGGCACAGAGAAGGACTGGTGTAAACTGTCATTTCTTTTGGTGGCTGTGAACACATCCCTGGAGAGCAGAGCCCATATATCCACAGGCACACACAGGAGGGAAAGAGGGGAGATAGCAGAGACCTTGTTCTTCCCAGGGATGCCTCTTGGTGGCCTCTTGGTCCAGAGACCCTCCCACTTGAATGACTCCTTAAGAGTCACTGATGTCTTGTACCATGATTTGTTTATCTGAGAAGGTCAACAGGTGGTTTTTCTGCTGGTGCAGTTCAGCATATTAAAGTGACTCCAGAAAAACAGGTTATACCTGCTGAGGACCTCACTAGAAATGCAGAAACCCCCATCAGCTGTGTTTTGTTTGGACCTTCTGGCAGAAAGTGACACCAGAAACCAGGTGAAACCTGGAATTACACAGATAACATCATTCAAAATTGCAGAAGGTGATATGGGAGATGTTTATGTTGGGAAAGCAGACAGAAGGACACCTGCAAGTCTGGTATGGGGTGAGATGAAGACCTTTGCAAAGTGAGACAGAAGGGATGGGCCAAGAATTCCATTTGCTGCATCTGAAATGAGCACCTTAAAAGCAAGGAGCCAGTGCAACCCCTGACCTCTGCAGGCCTGAGACACGACAGGCACAGCCACTACACCACAGCAATCACTGTCCCTTCTGGGGTTCAGCTTCCCAGCAGGAAACACAACCACCTCTGTAGCCGTGCAGGATCAGTCCTCTGACAACACTGTTTATCGAGATCTCTGTTTTCTTTGCAAGCCAACAAGACTCTGCAGTGCCCTGGCTGTTGACCTATGTTTGGGCAGAAAACACAGGGAGAAAAATCCTTCTTGTAACCAAGTGCCTGCTGTCCAGCCAGCCGCTAAATGAGCTCTCCACAAACAATAGCTCTGCTTAATAGAAAGCACCTGTCATGGCCATAAACTCCCCCAGCCACATCCGTCAGCCACGCGTGAATTGGCTGCTCAGAGGAGAAGCCACTGAGATGAAACAGCCGTGATGGGGGCCAGGGTCCTGCTCTGAAAAGCACTGGCAAATACTGCTCTGCTGAAGGTCACTCTGAAAGACAGCTCTGTTTCATACCTTGGCTGTGTGGCTGTGCTCACTGTGGGCTGCTGCAGGAGAGAGTTGCCATTTATCCTTCACAGTTAAAGAGGCTTCAAGTGCCTCTTTGCAAGACCTAACTCACTTTGCCACCAGGGGCAATGCTTTGATCCCACAGAGCAAAGCTGGAGGCAGTGGTGACAGCAGTGGGTGACATGACCAAGAGCTGCCCATTAGAGGAGGAAATCTATCCCACACTCCCAGCCTGGAACTCCTCTTAATGCCCTTCCCAGGAGCTGAGACATAATAAGCCTGGGAGAAGGACCTTGAAGCCACAGGAGCGTTTCATCTCCAGTCAGTTTCTTCTAAGGCAATTTGACATCTGAATACTTCAGCAGGGTCTAGTGAAAACTGGCATGTACTGATCTTGGGATAATCAGCTGGAGACAGAGGACTGGCCTGTTCAGTCCCTGTAATGGACTCTCAAATACACTCCTCTCCCTCCAAGGGCACAGGTAGCTCTTAGTAAATATCTGAGCATAACTTCTGTTTCTTTGTGAATGGTATTTAAAAGGGGGAAATATCCAGTAGGCTACACTGGGTTTTGGTTACCACAGGGTACAATGCTACAAGCAATCCAGAAAGGATGGTAAGCTTTGTCTTAAGCCAGAACCTACATCCCTTTCATAGTACCCTTTTTGGGCAACACAAATGAGAGAAAGAGAGAGGAACAACTATAAAATACCTAATGCTGTAAACTCAACTAGAAGAACAATAGCAGGTTTATGATAATTTAAAAGAATTTCATTTCTACAAGATGCAACCAGCCAGATTTTCAGATGGGGTAATGCAGTCCTTCCTCTGTCTCTGATGCCTAAGGTTTGATGTGATAGAAGAGGAAAAACAGGCAGACAGTCCGTGGTACTTCCACTGTTTAGTAATTAGCTGCATATCCCTGTAAAGTTCTCACTGTGCATTGCTGTTTAATGAGGGCTCTGTCTCTCTCTTAGGAAAGGTCTCCATGATCAATACAGAGGCAAGAGCAGCACAGTCTCACACTGCTGCTGTTCCTGGGAGCAGGGCTGCTCCTCTCAAGGAGTTCTCTCTGAGCTGCCCTCGTACCAGGATGCCCTACCCCTGCCCTAGACACCAGGGCTGTGTTCAGCTGGATACATACGGATATCCTGGTGAATATATAGAGAATCAGGGACAGCACGGACATGTAGATTTGTATCCTCTGCCCTCCAAACCTCTTCTGCAGGTACTCAGGCATGGTGACAACTCCTGCTGCGATGTAAACAGGCAAGAAGATCCAGCCGAGAGCCAGCAGTGGCCAGATGGCCTGTTAAAGAGACAGAGAATAAAGACACAGGATTCAACACATGGAAACAGCTTTTCCCCCTCTTCGGTCAGTCTTTCCTAAGAAAGCAGAAAGGTACAGGGCCATGCAATGTGTTTGAGAAGCAGACTGACTTTTTCTCCCTGCTCAGAAGATGAGCCAGCAGCTGAAGGAATTGTTACAATTCAGTAAGAAGCTTTTGAAGATCTCTTCCTAAGGCCTGTATTTCCCTCTGCCATGGGTGTCACGCCCTCTTCCATCCCCATGTCTTTTGAGCAAGGTGGTGTATTCTGTTGCTCTGGTTCTCTGAAGAGATGGTGGTGCATTTGGTGGCCTTTAAAACCACTGATGCTGTGGCAGTGAAGAGTTAAGTGATTCAGAGCAGGATGGGAGCATCTGTTTGTTGCTTGATTAGCAAGTGATGAGGCTGAGGCAGCAGACCGTCCCTGCGGAGCATAAAAATAAGCAACAGCAAAACTCTGCTGGGATGTTCTCCTTGCAGGCTGGCGCAGATGTGCTTCTGTCACTGGTAGATAAAGAGGCACTTTAGTTGCTTTGCCACAGGTGAAGAGCCTTTTGGAAAGTGTAAAGGCATTCTCATGAATTTCTTCTCCGATTCCCAGCAAAAGCCCGAAATTAAAGGTAAATGAAAGCCATTGGATCATCAAACCTCACCTCCTGGTTGTCTCCAGCCTTTATCTTTCATCCTTACATTTATTTTGATCAGTTATTTAAGTTTTCATTAAAAAAAACCCTGATCCCTATGAGCAGAGATTGTGACTGATTGAGAACAGCCGTGGCTCCTGCAGTGGCAGAGACTGGCTGAGGTGAAAGATGCTCATAAGATTCCTCCAGCTGAATGATGTCCCATGGCACAGGGAGAGAGTAATGGCATATCTAAGTTCTCTTTCCAATCTGAAATAAATTAATCTGAACTCATGAAGTTAGATTTGCCCTGAAACATAGTCTTGTCTTCACGAGCTTCTAAAGTGACTTGGATATATTTCCTTTGAGTACAGCAATACTGTGTCCTACATGCACCAGGCTGAACACAGTCTCTGTTTTCTTCACAAAAGATTTAAAGGTGACCTTAATGGTCTAGAAAAAAACACATTGCAGTGAATACATACCCCAGGAGAGAGCTTTTGGTGGGCCCTGTCTGTGCTTGGCACTACTAACACTCTCTGCTGAGGTTGGCAAGAGATTCAGAGTTAGATGAGTGATGCTTCTTGTGAGGCTGGCACTAATCTCACTCCTCATCAGCTGAGAAATTTCATTAACACCACACACCAAGGGTCTAGTTTTCGTGCTCTTGTGTGGTGTCAGTGGCAATATTCCAGGCTGCTTCAACAGGGCAGAATGAGACCTGCCTTCACACCCAGAGGTTCAGAGGTGCCACATTTTGGCAGCTTCCAGGTGAAGAGAGTTGCTGATTCTAATGGATTTACAGTGAATATGGGAGCACATGCTGCTTCTTCTTGGGTTTTTTTTTCAACTACTTGTACTCAGAATCCTGTGATTATCCAAGTACCTTTCCAGCATTCATTATCCTTTATTTTAATCTTCATGAGTGCAGACTAAAGCTTAAAAATAAGGCCATGTACCACTGGGAAGGCCAAAGAGCTAATAATTCTAGTGAATTCCACTTAAACTAAAATAAAGATCTCATGTTTCCAAAGCTGTCAGAATGTCTGGAGGCTTCTCTCCTGAGAGTTGAGCACTTGTTGCTGCTGATACTGTTAAACACCTGAATTTGGAGAGAAACCCCAATCCCTTTGTAAACAGTGACATCTTAGTTGACAACAGAAGTGACTCTTACGTTCCACTCAAAGCCCCCAACAGCAAGGCCCCCAGCTGCTGCAGTGCCTGCCAGCCCCATGAATGAACCACTGCCCACATCACTCGACATCAGGGATGCTCCAATCTGAAACACAGGGCACAGGGAAAAAAATGAGAACGTCACTTTGAGGAACTTCTGTACCAACCCAAGCATTTCCCCCAAAGAGACTTTCCCCGGGATCTCATCTCCTTGCAGTTAGGCAGGTGGCTGCTAACAGAGAGGAGGGTTTTTCAAGAGGTGAAAGAAAACATTTTTATATCTTAAAGCATGTTCCTGCTCCCTTCCACTGCCCCCACTCCAGTGCAAAGCTTAATCTCAGAATCAGGGCTCACTCTGCCAGTGGTTTCCCCCAAGAGCCACACCTGTTACGGGGCACAGCAGAGGGAGGGGAGTCTGGTGACACCACAGATTCCTCAGTGTCCATGAAAGGTGGTGTATTTCCCCATTCCCTTGTTAGGCAGCCAGCAAGGTGCCATGTCTGACCCTGCTGACCCTTGCTCTACCTCCCCATGTCTTGCTGACAGCCTCTTTTGAGTGCTGCTCTGAGCATGTGTGGTGCTGGCTCACACAGCCATGGGGACAGGAGTGCTCTGTCACTGCTCCTCCTGAGGGAGAGGATTCCTGAACTGTAGCATGGACGTGCTGGGAGCATGCAGGTCTTGTTTAGTGTCCAAGGGAGGTTCAAAGCTATGGAGCTCTGCAGCAGGCTGGGAGATGCTCATGCCTCAGGTTTACTTCAGCTGCAGGCTGTGGGCAGGGTAGGCTGTCCCTGCGTGGCCCATTGACACCCTAATTGTAAGAGTGCCAGCTCTGAGGCTTTTTAAACAGGGCTGAGGCTATCTGACTTAATTACTGCTTTTACTGGTACAAAGCCTCACCTCCTTTCTGCATGCCAACATCAAACCTCTCTCTGGGTCAAATGAACAGTTACCCAAAGGACAAGGTCAAGCCCTTTTCATCCTACAGTTTGCTTTTAGGCACATCACCTATGAGGAGCTTTTCTCTCCTTAGTACTGCCACATGTGAAACAAGCAATGATGGAAGCTGATCTGCTTCTCACCTTTGGGCAAGGTAAAACATTAATATGGCATCAACACTCACACTGACTCTGCCTTCTTGTCTGTCTGACAAAACTCTTGGGTACAGAAGCTGCTGCAACAGGACTTTGCAACCAATGCTTGCAAGAAATGTAAGCAGTTTTCCTGATCTGTAGATCAGACACAGAAATAAAAAAGATACATTGCACAGGACCAGTAATTTCATATCAGGGCTTAGTTGAGGCTGTTTAATGCACAGCTGAAGCCTGTCACTCTCATAAAAACAATAATAAAATGCAGATAAGCCAGTCATGTACTCAGGGTGAAGGCCACAAGGAACTGAGCCTGCAGGAGAGCTGCAGAGGTGAAATCAGCTCTGACAAACAAATCTAGGAAGTAAACAGCATTAGAGGTCGCTCTGGACATAAAACAGTTCAGAAGAGTCAAGACCTGCACCAAACAGCCTCCGTAGCCACCTGTGGTTGGAGCCAAAAGCAGTGAGGATGTTTTGGGATTTGTTTGGGGGACTTTTTAATAGAAAAAAAACAAACAAAACACAACTACAGAAATCTTGTTTAAAAGAAAAAAGATTGAGGAAAAAAGTATTCAATTTTACTATATTTTAATTTTCCCCCTCCTAATTAGAGAAAACTATCAAGCTAAGTTTTTGCATTAAATGTCACTTGGCTGAGACAGAAGTTTTAAGAATATTTAAGAAATTATATTTTAGAGAGGGTGTATGTGTCTCTGGTGGAAGAGGCTGAAAATCTTGCCTAGTGAATTTATGGGCAATGCACAGTCAAAGGAAAAAAAGGGAAAACCTGTTTTGGTTGAGAAGTGCATTCCATTACCCAGACTCACTGGAGAGATATATGGTTCTAGAGTCTGGCATTGGCTGAGAAGAATCTTTATTCCTGTGGTGTTTTTATTCCTTTCCAACTCTAAATTATCTTTATATGTACCTTTCACTCCCAAGAAAAGGTGCCTTCAATAGATTATTTTTCCTTTGTAGTGAAGATTTTTACTTCAGTGGTTTGAATTATATCCTTTACACCATTAGTCAATAAACTCAACTCTGCTCTAAATAGCAAGGGCTCAGAAAGTCCTGGGATTAGGGATTATTTTCAATTTAGTGTCTAAATGCTCTTTACTGGATAGCACATTCCTAGGTTACCTCATGCTCTTGACTTGGGAACATCATGAGTTGAGGCCAAAAAGTTTCAAACCCAGCTAGGCAGCCAGCATTCCCTACCTTTCATCAATGGGAACATTTTTATTGCTGACTTTAGCAGAGAAACTGAGTTGGAAAACCCTGAAGATGCTGAGCTCCCCTTTTGGCCTGGCAGCTCCATGCTGCAGCCCACTGGCAAAGACGTGTGGGATGATTCCTTATAGATCCTTCATCCCAAAGATTACAGTCAGAACATGCAACCACTGGCTCCCCTCACTAGACCTGCTCTCACACCTGGAATTGTTTTCAAACCATGAGAAACAAAGGGAAGCATTTCACTCACAGGCAACCAAGTCATGGATCGTCCAGCCAGGAAATAGCCTCCAATGGTCCCCTGGCTCGTTCGTATGGATGACTGGAAGCACAGGAAAAAGAACAGAAGTGTTTTCCTCCATTCACCCACCCTTGAGTCAGACCAAGCCAGGAGAATCCTTAGTGACTGGCCTCAGCACCAGCTCCAAAATAATTGTATGGATCTGTTAAGTATGCCAGGCTTCACACACTGCTTCTGCCCCTTTTTGTGGCTTCTGATAGTCATGCTTTGGAAAGAAGCTGCTTGTACCTGTTAAATGACTTCTCCATGAATGCACCAACTGGGAAAGAAAAAACAGTTCAGCCAAGCAGAACACAGTAGGTGTCTGTGACAGAGGCCTTTGCCAAACAACATGGAAATATCATTAGCAACAATCTTTCCAAAGTTTTTAAGGTCCCGTTTCATTCTTCTCCAGCACAATCCTGGCTTTTCTTTCACCTCCTGCCTGTCCACACCCAGCTATGAGACTGCTCTGCAGCACAGGAGTTGAGCATCATTCCTAGAAAAACTTCCAGGGAGTGATCCCACAGTTGTCCCCACATAGAGTGGAAGTGAAGGCTCACAGAAGGATTCCTGTCACCCACAAATCTGCTCCACCTGCTCTAGGATAAGTTGTGCAGAGGATGCCATTTGCAGGCAAGCCCCTTTGTACCCAGGAGGAGTCCAGGGAGCATCAAAGCCTCTCTGGCTCAGGCAGACCCAAATCCAGCCCCCTCAGGGACTCACCCATATCCCTACAGCGAGGATAAAGGTGAAGTACAGAGCCACCACGACGATGTCTGCCACTCCAAAGGCTGCTGCTGGGCCCCCTGGCTGCCCAGGCAGCTCCGTGGAGGCTGTGGTCACCTGGCTCATGGCTGTGGTCACCTGGCTCATGGCTGTGGTCACCTGGCTCATGGCTGTGGTCACCTGGCTCATGGCTGTGAGCAAACTGATGATTTTCTTACTCACACTGGACTTAAGTGCACATTGGCCTTCATTGATTCCCTTGTAATAATTAACAGGGTGAAGAAGGTGTGAGTGAGGAGCAAAAGCCAGGCAGGACAGTGGCTAACATTTCTCAGCAGGAGCTTGGTCTCCATGGCTCACAGTGAGGGCCACCACTCAGCTCTGTGGTGTGAGGATTCTTCCCATTTCCCCTCGTGTCCATTTACCAGTGGTCCTTTCTCCTGCCCATTTACCCATTGGTGACACCCACTGGGATGTAGGAGATGGTTCTGCTTTGAGGGTCTGGGATCTGCCTGGAAAAGACTTTGGAATGGCTCTGCCACAGGAGCTTTGTGTCCCAGGACATGGGCAGGAAGGAGAGGGCTGGACCCTGTGCCACATCAAACTGTGAACCCAGGTCCTCAGCAAGGACATTTCTCATCCTGGTTTGCAGACAAGGTGGGCACCCTCCAGCACGAGCCCCCTGAACCAGGAGACAGGGAGTGGGTCACCTCAAACCTCTGCTCCTTTGCTGGGACAGCTTTGGGAGGATCACAAAATGTTTCTACTGGGGCTGGTAAAGCCCTTCCAGTCTTCTCCAGGCAGACCCCAGACATACCACGTGGGACATTTTAAACTTAGGTGAGCTGTGCTTGATCTTGGTTTCAAGGAAGGCAACAAAATCTCTCTCTCACTTTGTTTTATTCCCGTCTCTCACAGAGTTTTCTTGCAAATGCTGGCTACCTACTTGCTCATTAATGCACTGCTAACACGAGGCCCACATCCACCCCTGCTCCCCAGTCTGAGGCTCCCTGGGAGCAGTGCCTCCCTGCAGGCTCATTATCCACAAGAGGCTTTTCAAGACTGAAATGTTTCCACAAGCTGAAGTACAGTTACCAGAAATTAAATATCTGGAAGCCTAAATCCCCTGGTATAAACAGGCAGCTCTCCCTGCACAGAGCTGATTTACACTCACCCACACACTTTTCCCTCTTAACACCTCAGCACCTGAAAGCAAAAGACTGTTGCCTAATCCTAAAATACATTAATACCTGCCCAAAAAGCAACCACAGCACCTCCAGTCTTCCCAAACCAGGAATGCTTCTCCACACATGGGAAGCCCAAACCCCAAGTACCTGCCTGACCTAGCCCTTCACCCCACTCTCCCACAGTGCTGTATCTTCAGCAATTAACACTTGCAAACACTTGAAAGGTTTCACCCCAGACCAGAAAATGCATCCAAAAAGCCATTCCCAACAGCCATGAGCTACCACGAGTCCACTGGACACACTGGAATGGCACAGGCTTATGGCAGCAGCATGTTGTCAGGTGCTATTACACAGCCTGGATCATCCCAAACTGCAATGGCCAGCCCAGTTGCTGGGCAGGATTGCAGCAACTGCACCTCAAACATGGACAACACCTTGAGTGCATTTGTGGCAGTCCTTTCCTCACTGCCCCATCCTGTTCAGGCAGGAGCTGCTCTGCTCCCCACTCCCAGGACAAGCTGCAGAGGTGTGCTCCTCCCTAGGGACGTGGCCACTGTCCCTGGCCACAGCCAGGAAATGACACATCCTGTTGTTGGGTGGCTCCCAGCCCTGCTGCAGCTGCCCTGGGCAAGAAGCAGGTGCACAGTGCAGGGTCCTGCCGGGTCCCAGCAGCAGGGCAGCACTTACCTCCTGCTCCATGCACTGCTAAATCAGCACTGGTGGCCATCCACGCCCCGGAGATGCAGTGCCCCTTGCACTGGGTCCAGATGTGGGAACTGATGTACCGAGGAAATAATAAAAATTCATCGCAGCTGCCAAACTAACAAGTGGCCCTTGGAGTGAAAGACAGAGCAGCAGCATAAGCCCTGCAGGTGCAATTTGGCAGATCTCTGATGATTCAGAGGGTGGCAAACTCTGTCACCCACTTTTCTCCACGGACCTGGCAAGGGACCACGAGTTACCTGCAGCAGCAAACCCACCCTCCCCAGCTGGCACAGGGCTCAGAGCCCCTTGGCCATGCAGGCAATGCTGAATTTTCCTTGCCCAAAGTGAAGGAATGAGTTTATGTTACCTGTGCTGGTGGGAGTGGAGGCAACAGAGGAAATGCTGGGCATGAGCCAGTGAGCACAGGGGACAAAGCTGTCCCCAGTGTGTCACCCACAGCAGGATCAGGTGCTGGCAGAAGTGCTGGCTGCACTCATGGGGGCAATTGGCACAGAGAGCTGAGGAATACACATCTTCATCCTCTCCCCGTTCCTCCCCTCCTGAGACATCACTTGTACCTTCCAAAAAACCATTCCTTCTCCCTCCAAGACCCACCTCCTGGTGCATGCCTGGCTTTATGCAGTCTTTCTGCTGTCTTGGTGAAGGCTGACAGCAGGGCTATCAACAGGGGGGCAGAAGACAGCCCTGAAGCTCACGTGGTGTCGCTGGGGCCACTTTGTCCCCTTGGCCATAGACAGACCCATTGTCACCGAGCCCTGCATCCATGGCTTCTCCCAGCCCTGCAGTGATGCCAGGCAGAGGTGTGGGGCAGGCTGCAGAGTTGCAGCAGCCCTATAAATTAACTCACGGTTTCAGCAGTACCTGGGAGCTGCGACCAGGCAGCCAGACCCCGCAGCACAGTTAATACACTCTCCTCTCCTTGCAGCAGAAGTGACAGGATTCTTAGTGTCCCCTTGTGGGGTGTTCACCTCACTCCTGTCACAGCAGCTGAGGACGAGCCCTTCAGGGACTGGAGACTCTAAGTGGTGTTTCAAAGTGTGCAGCTCAGAAAAAAATAAAAAGGTGCTGAAGAGTTAGCGTTTCTGGGGCAAAGGATGTTCAGTGGAGTGACAGGCAATTATTTTCGCAAATGCTAACGAATAAATGGACTTCCTCTTCATTACCAAGCTACTTCACAGTCATCAGTAAATACTTCCAATGACAATTAGTGAATTTCAAAATGGATTGAGAAATTGGCTTATACACAGATACCGATGCAATGAGGTGAGGTGATAGCCCAGCCTCACTCTTTACCTTTCCTCCTGGGGGATTTTCCCGTGTGCTGAATGGGTGAGGCATTCAGCTAACCATTATTTTCTTCTCAGCCCTTTCTCAGGGGAATGACTCTTGAATGAAATCCAGCAGTTTAATTTTAGTGTGATATGAATGGGCTTTGAATGTATTTAATGTTTAAAGGCAGCAAATTCAGCTCGGAGCCTGCTCCAGAGGAGCAGCGGGAAGCAGAGCAGACCCCCGGGAAGCGCAGTGGTGCTACCACAGCTCTTTTCTTCCCTCTGCAGGCCACACTCTGATTTTCACTCCTGGACAGTCCCATAAACCTGGAGGCAGTCAGGCCATCACTTGGACTCCTGGCACTACTTTTCTTTGTTTTTTTAACCTGAGTGAGCATACCTGTGCTGAGGCAGGGATAAAATGCCGTGCAGAGGAGCCAGGGAAGATGCTGGATTCAGTGGGAACCTCAGTACCTTGTCAGGCTGCTCTGAGCCCTGCCACAGCAGGGGAAAGCTCCCAGCTCTGTGTGCTGGAAACTGCTGCTCTCCATTGCTGGGATGGGCAGAGTTCCCTGTGCAGGCTGCATGGACTCAGCTCCAGCCATGCAATGCAGGTGGGCTCACATGGGATGTGCTTCCCATGTTTGGGCTCCTTTGGCAGCGAGCTGGGAGTGTGGATCTCTCCCAGCAAGTGGCCCTGGCCATCTCTTACCCCTCTTCACTCTCCCAGAGGTCACCTGTACCTGATTCCTGAGCACTGTGGGCCCATAACCCTGGCATCTGCCTGTGGACCAAGGACAGCCTTGACACACAGGACAGCTTCCAGTTACCACTCAGCTTCTGCTGCACCTAAGTGAGTTTAGTGAGAGGAGCTAAAAGTGGTGTTACCAACCAGCCAGTCCAGGATCAGGTGGACTACTAAGAGTGGAGTCTCATCCTGGCTGTCTTTATCCAGACAACACATTTGCTGCCCCAAACAAGGGTTTGCACCTCCCTGTTCAGCTGAGCAACCTCCTCTGATTGCCCCTTCCATCCCCACACATCCCACTGGAAAACTTCTGTGACTGCTGGGAAATTAAGGTGATAAGACACAGAAGGAGTTTCAGGTCACACTTCCAACCACAGCTGCCTAGAAGAATGATTCCAGGACCGAGCAGACTTAGGCTGGAAAAAATATGTCACATTTACTGAGTGACTTTTTTGACTAACAGCCAGACTTTGAAAAATATTAGCAAGGGTAAAACATTAAGTGACAGAACAAGGACACTTTAGATGAAGGATGTTGTTCTTCCTTTAATTTACTCCCCTCTACAGCCTTGCAAAGATCTCAGCAGAGTAAGTGTCCTTATTGATGGATACACTATCCTTGTTAAGATGGGACAATACACTTATTTACAGCTTTCATCATTGTCATGAAGGCACAAAGCAAACAGATATAACTAATGAAGATTTAGCTGTTACATAATGTCTTTGCCAACTCCATACAGAAAACTGGGTAAAAAACCTGGAAATAAATCTTTTTATGAGAGCATTTTTTAAATGAATTTAAGATGTGAAGAGATGTATTTGTAGTTTGTATTAAGATTCTGGGTGTTGCTTTTCTGGAAAGATGTCTCAGGTTTGGAGTAAAAATGAAATGATGGTCTGAGAAACACCAAGGAAGTAAAAGTCAATCAGCCCTATGATTCAAGCCATGAATTAGCACATTCATGGTGATGCTCCATGATAAAGGTGGTGTGAGCTGTGACCATTGGACCACCAGCAAGATGCAGACTCAGTAATAATGGATCAACAGGCAGAAGAGATGGAGGAGTTGCAGTAAAAGCTTGTTCACTTCATTTGATCTCCTCTGGGTCCCTCTGAAGATGACAACAAGCATGGGTGGCTGGGACAATAATGCTCCACAGCCACTGCAGAAAGCAGGTTTGGTACTACAGGAACAACCAGATTCCTTTGATGTTCTCCTGAAATCCATTGTCTGATAATCACACGGAACTTAGTGCAA